CTCATGCCAAGATTGTAAATTTGCATGTATAATCTTTTTACCCAATCTCCCAACTGTGTTTTGATTCACTGTTATCCCATACAACTTTCTAAAATTCATTTTTGGTGCTGACTGACAAAGTTTTCAAGATTTTAATGAAAACTCTAATGTTTTCACATCAAGAACAAGGCTCTGTAGGGCACTGTTTGGGATACAGCATAACATTTTCAAATTTGGTGAAGTATCCTAACTATATTTGCTACAAGACTATGTGCTGTGCGATTCCATTTATATCAGGTAAAATATAGGGGAAACTGATTAGTGTTTCTAGAAATCAGGATGGTACCATGTTCACCCTTGGAGGGGATAACGAGTGTTTGTGACTGAGTGGGACATGAGTTGAGGCTTCTGAGGTGCTGGTGATATTCTGGTTCTTGATCTGGGTGCTGGTTACACAAGTGTGTTTAGTTTTTGAAAATTCATTGAGCTATAGGCTTATGATTATGTGTATTTTTTGTACTTGTGTACAATGAAAAGTTACCCCCAAAAAGCAGACCACATTTAAGTTCTACTTTTAGCTATTTTATATTTTTAATTGATCATTTTTTTTTTACCTGTTTCACTGTATATTGGGACTTAGCTTTCCTCATTTCCTATTTTTACAGTAGTTAGTAAAATGTTTTTTTGAAATTAAAAAATGTTTTTAGGTAAAAATGGTACCTCAAGCCAAATTTCTAAAATAGGCTGGTGCTTTCATGAGGAGTCTAGGCTATTATACTATATAATGGAGAGATCTGTCATTCTGTAAATATATATATATCTCTGTCACTTAGTATTTTATCAAGTTTCATATAGTTTATCATCATTGATTGAGAATAGTCAATTTAGTCAGTATTTCAAGACCTTAAAAAGACAAACTGGTATTATCTTTGTGATATACAGCCTCAATTATGGTAAAGGTAAAAGAATTGAAGAAAGCCAAATAGCATTTGGATAGAAAAGAACTCAGAATTTTTAGGCTGCTAATATGTTGCTTGGTTCATTGAGCCTGAACTTGCAATTTAACCTGTGTGGGGCAGAAATGCTTATTGCATATAGATGTTAGATTTATTAGATGAAGGTAGGTTTCTTACAGATTTTGGAAATGTCACATGCCACTTGTCCATCTTAGGTAAAAATTAAATAAGAAGTTAAAGAGAATATTAATGCCTTTATACCTTGTTAGAAGTAAGAATACTTTGTTATATTTTACAGAGTCATATGGAAGAAATGGCTTAGGAAATAAGTTAGTTTTCTGTAATGTTCGTGTGAGTTCTCACTTACCTTTAGTGCTAGACAGCATAGCACAGTTCTTTGATTTATTCCGATTTCGAAAAACACATTGTTAGCAAAAATCTTGATAACTTGTGTCATTAATAATATTTCCAAGCCTACATAGTACACAAATAAGAATTGATTATAAACTTGATTTCGATAATTTTAGCACTTTAGGGTGTGCTTGTTTCATGAACCTAAACATATCCCTTCAGAACAAACACTGAGAGAGATTAAGGCATAGTTGGACTCTGACAGTAGTGGGGTCAAGAGGGGATGACAGCCCCAGGGAAGCAAACACTCACCTTCTCAGATGATAAGATGTTGTGGTAAGGTTTAAAGTCTACCTTTTCTGGTAGCAGTGGTTTAGAAATCACATATCTTATTGCAGAGTCATTGTTTTCCTAGGTCAGGAGGATTCTATTACATTTTTTCTGCTTCTCTCAAGCCTTTGAGGCACCTTTGCACCTCAGCTTGTAGCTGTTAACAATAAAGTAGTTTGGGCACTCTTGTACATATTTGCACTCCACAGACAACAGATAAGCCTGAGAAAATACTGCCCCAAAATACTGTTACTTAACTAAATACCTTTCTCTCAACTCATAATTTCTTTGCACTAATGAAAAATTGTAACATTTAAATTATATTTATGCTAAATATTTTATGTTGCCATTTTATTGTTGTTGTTGTTTTTATTTTTACCCCCTTTATCTTTTAGATCCATGTAAAAGCTCATTTTGACTATGACCCCTCAGATGACCCTTATGTTCCATGTCGAGAGTTAGGGCTGTCTTTTCAAAAAGGGGATATACTTCATGTGATCAGTCAAGAAGATCCAAACTGGTGGCAGGCCTACAGGGAAGGGGACGAAGATAATCAGCCTCTAGCTGGGCTTGTTCCAGGTAAGAGACAATATAGTAGATAGGACATAGTATTAAAAGAACATTTAAAATGCAAGTCTTAAAAAAAAAAAAATAGAAAAGAAAACCTCACTTCTTCATGCCTCTTAAAAAATTTTGCAGCTGCCTTTTCATGTAGTTGGCTTTTTATGTTGTACCTGTAGCATAAGTATCTTGACTAGAAATGTGGCCAATTTTGCTGGGTTTTAGAATGCAATTATGGTATAACTTCATCAACCAATCCCGTTAGGCATCTTAAGACCACCTTAATATCAAGGCAACAGAATCTGTATTGAACCCTTACACTGTAACAAAAGATTATTATCAATTAGGGTATTCACATGATGCACCACCTTTTAAGCAATCAATAAAGTAACACTATTGAATTTATCATACCTAATGTGATCTTGGGGTATAAATAGGATATCCCAAATTTTTTATTGAAGAAAACTATTCCTAATTTAGACTAAACTTAAATGTTAGCTCACCTTAGACATTAAAGTTATTAAGAGAACATGTTTCTCAGAGAGAGTTAAGATGATACATGATAGAACAAAGTACAGTCATGTATCACTTAACAACGGAGGAGACACGTTCGGAGAAATGTGTTGTTAGGTTATTTTGTTGTTGTGCAAACATCATAGAGTGAGTATACTTACACAAATCTAGATGGTATAGCCTGCTAGCCACCTAGGTATATGGTATAGTACGTTGTTGATCCAACCACCATCGTATATGAGGTTCATCGTTGACTGAAACATTGTTAGGCAGCACATGACTGTGTATAATTTTTCCTACACATTGTTCCTACAGTTCCAGAATCGGGGTAGTAGAATAGAGTGAGGGGAGCAGAACCAAGGGAAGTATGATAAGCTATTAGAGAAGGCAAAAGCATATATACAGGGTGATAAAATGGGGATAGGATAAAGTGTTAATAATTCATTCATTTATTTGGCCAGCAAATATTGTTATATCTGCACTACAAAGGCACTTTACTTAGTACTGAGATAAGCCTTGCTTCTATACTTGACTTGAAAGCATAACCACTAATACCTCTATGTAATTTTTTCTTTTCTGTGTGCCCTACTTGATAATACTTTCATGAATTTGTCTCTGTGTTATAATACTTTCTACCTTATATTCTCAGTTTGTAAACTTCTTGAGGTCAGAGGCTTTATCTTATTTATTTTAAATTAATTATTT